CGTTGAGCATGAAAGGAGCATCAGGCACTCTTCCGTTCCTCATGAACATCGTCTTCGTTAGATTCAGCCGTAGACCGATCTTTCCACACACTTCGTCAAACTGGGCCAGCATTTGTTCCGCCTGCGTGATGCTTGGTGTTATCAATACGATGTCATCAGCAAAGCGAAGGTGATGTAGCTGCCGGCCGTCGACTTTCACTCCCATGTTGTCCCATTCCAACTTACGCATGACGTTCTCCAGAGCGGCACTGAATAGTTTCGGCGATATAGTATCGCCTTGTCGCACGCCTCTTTTCACGTCAATAATGATGTCCTTGTAGAATGGTGTTATGGTGGTTGTGAAGTCGTTATACAGCTCACGAATTATCTTGATGTAATGAGTCGGAATACCTTGATTGTTCAAGGCATCGATGACGGCTTCAGTCTCAACCGAGTCAAAGGCCTTCTTCAAGTCGATGAAGGTGAGACAGAGCGGCATCTTATACTCTCGTGACACTTCAATGAGCCTTGACACCGTGTGTATGTGGTCGATCGTGCTGAATCCTCTTCGAAACCCAGCTTGCTCGCATGGTTGTCCTTCGTCCAACTCTCTTCCGATCCTGTTGAGAATGACTCGCGTAAAGAGTTTGTAGACTACAGACAACAAGCAGATAGGGCGATAATTGCCGATGTCGCAGGGATCTCCCTTCTTGTACAGCAACACGGTTTTGCTGGTCTTCCATTGCCTTGGAACCTTGCCTTCCGTCAGGTACCGCCAAAGTCTTGATGAGAACTGGCGAAAGATTCTTCAGATGTTCTGGCTTAATCCTGTCGGGACCGGGTGCTGTACGGTTTTTCATCGACATGATAGCATGACGAATCTCGGAAGGAAGAACAGACGGTGCGACATACTCGTCCTCCTTGAGATGGCATGGTGGAAGGTGGACGTGGCTCGCAAAAAGATCCGAGTAGAAGTCGTGGATGACCTTCTCCATTGATCTTCGGGAAGCAGTTATGGTTCCGTCAGGACGACGAAGTGCGGTCATCTTTGTCTTGAAGTTGACGAAGCTTCGGCGGGCGTTGCGTATACTTCTTCCAACCTCCGCGGCGTCAACCATCACTGCTACTCTTCTCTCCTTAAAGCCTTCTTTTATCGCTTCTCTGCATCGCTTCGCAAGCTCGGACGTCAGTCGGTAGTTGCCTGTGGCTCGTGCGCGTCCACGTTGGCGTATCAGCTCCAAAGTCCCCGTGGTGAGACGCCTTCTCGTACTTCTTAGACTCTGAGCTTCCTTGGCACAACCGTGGAGATGTTGTACGAACCGTTCGTATTCTTCGTCGATGTTGTCCATCACGGTATCTCGCCATGAGCCGGATATCGAAGAAAACAGATCCCAGTTGGTGGTATTCATGGGACGATGTTTCCTGAACTTGACGGCTCTCTCTCCATTCCGCGGAAAGTAGAATTTGGCGCGCAGGAGACGATGGTCTGATCCCGTGTAGAACTTCGGAACAACAGCGACGTCCGTCAGGCAGTACCTTCTGTTGACGATGATGTGGTCAATCTCGTTATGGTACTCTCCACCGGGCGATTCCCAGGTCCAGCGTAGGGAAGAGGGCTTTTGGAACTGTGAGTTTCCATGAATAGTCCTCGTCGTCATGATAAACTCGGACAGTCTCTCCCCTTGTTCGTTCCACTGCAAACCATGGGTTCCGATGTGAAGTTCCTCAGTCGACCTTCTAGTTCCGAACTTCGCGTTGAAATCACCGACGATGATCTTGTAGAAGGTATGATCTTCTCTGTAGAACTTCTCCAAGTCCATATAAAATTCCTCGAGTTCGTCCTCGTCGTAGCTGGATGTTGGGGCGTACGCAATGAAGACGGTCAAGGCAGGGATTGATCCACATCTCGATATTCGCAAACGTCCGATTCGAGTTGTAAGTTGTTCGAACGAATCGATGTTCATGGCCAAACTCGTGTTGACAAGGACTCCCACTCCACCTACTCTCGACTGTCGCATGTTCCTAGAAACAGTTCTTCTCCAGTCTCAAATGTGGCGTTCAGCGGGTGGTGCCTCCTTGTCTCGGTCAGTCCGATGACGTCGTACTTAATCTTCCTTGCTTGCATCATGAGATCTTCGATAGATGCGTCCGATGCCAGCGTCCTCGCGTTGTAAGTACAGATCGTCATCATAGTCCGTCTCGTTTTCGGCAGCCTAGATCGCCTTTCAAACCTTGTCCCCACTGGCGCTGCCTTACCAGTGGCTCTTCCAAGATTAAAGGAGCTTTCCATATTATCACTGTGTCGAACAAGAATTTACTCGCAGGGATAGCTTGTTGGGCTCAAAACCCCCGCGAGGGACGATCGGAGCTTATTTGTTGGAGGCGACTCCGAACTCGTCTCCCCACACACCTACCCGGGAAATTAGGGCGCAAGCTTTTAGTGGAGGCAGGGAGTCCGTCCCCCGGCTCCGCTTGCTTATCAGAGCAGGCGCGGGGTCGCTTTTGGTCGGCGATTATCCCCCTATCCGCCACCTGGGGACGCCCCACGTAGCCTCGCGACTAACCGGCTGTGATCCCTCTATGAGGGAGATCCGTGGCGAAAATTGCATATAAAGTAGCATTTTGTGAGAAGAACATTTGCAAATATTCCACCCTTGTCCAGCATCGATCCTCTTCTGCAGGCAATAAAGTCTGTTGTCAGGGAGTTTCTCCTATGTACTCTTGGCAATATATTGAAAGTAACCGTCCTTTGACGCATTTAAACTTTTCTCTACTTTTCTCAGTTTTTTTCTCAGTCTTTTTCTATCATCGTAGCTGATACAACTGCTCTTTATTCATTTGCGATACATCCTGAGGGTTAAGTCCAATTCTTTTCCCTGGTCATTTCAAAAAATTTGCAAGTAATAGTCATCCTGTCGATAGGAATTACTGAAAACACAGGGATTTTTTCAGTAAAAAAATGCTTTCGAGTATTATGTTCACGTGATGATTCCGCCTAAAAAGATGGGATTTCTAAGCTCTTCACTTCTAAAGTCCTTTTTTGCAAAGATTAGCAGGAAACGCAAATATTTTCACAATTTAATCATGCAAGATAAGCATAAGTGTATGTATGTACAGTAGCAAACTAACTGGCTGGTAAAGTTGAACTGAATTTTGTATCATTTGCTAACACATTAACGAACATGCACTTACTACATTTGAAAGTAAAAAATTTTCTATGCTCTGCATTTTTAATCACAATCAAAAGCTAGAGTAGAGTGCACATACAGGGTCGGTAAGTTTCTGACCTTAAGCGCTTCCGATTCAAATTTGATACACTTCTAACGTTATTGTGCTTGCCAAATCTTGTAAGCATAAAATCGACAAGAAACAAACTTTCTTTGCGGTTCCTTCAATTCTCTATAAGGCTAGAGCACAGCTGATGCACCTTTCCAAGAAAAATTTTGAATGCTAACATGGCGTTTATCCTGAATCATTTTCGTAGAGAACTTTGTACCCTCCTTCATCTACTTATTACCCTATTTTCAGGTGTATAAGCCGCACCCTTTTCACTCTAAAGGCACACACGCCAAAAGACTGCCTGTTACGATGGGGCGCGTTAAGTGAGAGCAGTGTGCGAGGAAGCGACCGCTTCGCGAGGCACATGCGCGGCGGCACGCCTAGGTCTGCTCGCGTTTACATCAAAAAGGGTGCGGCTTATACACCTGAAGATAGGTTAGTACGATTTTCTCCGTAAAAATGTGCTCACTCCAAAATACTCTGCCACTCTGGACTCAAACTCAAAGTCAAAAAATATTCACCATCTAATTTTTAACTGAAAAATCTTAACGAAAACTTACATGGCAGCTGCAAATCTTGTGCGCAAAAAAGGAGTATGCAGAGAGAGAGAGAGAGGAGAGAGAGAGAGTAGAGTTGCAATTACCACGTTCGCTAACAGACAACGGAAGATTATTTCCCTTTTTAGCGGCGAAGATCAAAAGGATCCTTTTCAGAGGCAACGATTAAAATGATTTGATGTTCAGTTAACTGAGGCTTAACTAATTTCTCCTTCTCAGAAAAGCTGGAAGCGAATTTTTTGCAGTACCGGTACTTTCTAGCAGGCAATTTCCTTGCATATTTAGCGGTCTCTCTAACAAACCACAATATAACAGAAAACGTGCCAGAATGGCTTTCAAAGATCAGAGGTCACAAACTCTACCATACTTTTATAAACCACTAGCTGGCTTACCCGGCTCCGCCGTATGTTCCAAATAGAAAATTCCATTTCTTAACCGAGCTGGACCAAACTTGGCACACATACCCTTCGGGCCCCGGCGGGTGTCACAGTCCACTTTTCGTTATCGATCGATGTCGATTTTATCGATTTTTTGCAAAATTTGAGCTACGGGGCTGGGAGTTGGCAGAGGGGTGTTATCGAGCATGCCGATTACGAATACAATATTAGTTTTCGAAACCGTGCATTACTTTTATCGATTTTATCGATTTTTTGCAAAATTTGAGCTACGGGGCTGGGAGTTGGCAGAGGGGTGTTATCGAGCATGCCGATTACGAATACAATATTAGTTTTCGAAACCGTGCATTACTTTTATCGATTTTATCGATTTTTTGCAAAATTTAAGCTAGGGGGCTGGAATTTGGCAGAGGGGTGTAATCGAGCATGCTGATCACCCCCACGGTGGTGATCAGCACGCCCGATTACCCCCCTGTGCCAAATCCCAGCCCCGTAGCTCAAACTCTGCAAAAAAATCGATAAAATCGATAAAAGTAATGCACGATTTTAAAACTAATATTGGATTCGAAACCCCATGCTCACTTACCCCCTGTGCCAACTCCCAGCCCCGTAGCTCAAATTTTGCAAAGAATCGATAAAATCGATATCGATCGATACGAAAAGTAGCCTATGACACCCGCCGGGGCCCGAAGTGTATGTGTGCCAAGTTTGGTCCCGATCGGTTCAGAAATGGAATTTTCTATTCGGAACATACGTACATACATACAGACATACAGACATACAGACAAACAGACATTCAGCTTTATATATAAGATTCAATGAGGATGAGTTGGAAATATGAGCATAATTCTTAGTGACAACAAAAATCAACAATATGGCAATTGGCATTCAAACACTTGCACAAAACTACAATGACAACTCTGTGCTAACCCAATCCTAGTCGAGATTGCAAAAAAGCTTTCTCTTCCCTTAAGTTGCGGTTATTGGCCACGAGAATTCTGAAAAGCTTGAATAGGTAATTGTATGATAATAAGCGGAAGCAATAAACTTACCCAAAAGTTGTTTTGAAATGTGCCGGCACAGTCGGATCCTGCCTTACCCTTTCGAACAGCTTCATCTCCCATTCTTCATCATTATCGTTTTCTGCCTGAATTTAACAGGATCAAGGATTATGAGACGAAGTATGAATCGAAATGGCCTTCTTACTTCCACAATCTCCAGTGATTTCGCCGATTCAAGCTTGAATGAAGGAAGAACATTGGCTTCATCGGCTTGAGATGGTACCTAAGTGACGAGACGTTATGATTGAGAACAAAGAGAGTTACTTTATTCAACACAAAAAGGCATTTTGAAAAGGATCGAAACTTTGATGTGGACTTTTTAACATCTGGCTAAAAATGAGCTCACTCTTTTAGAAGTGCGAGACTAAAATACCGTTGTTTAGAAATGAATATATTAGGTTGCTGCATAAGTTCTGTCCGAAATTTTTTGCCTTATGTTTGAAGCAGCTGCTCTAAGAGGATCTCATATCTGATGCGATATTGTTAGTATCATTAAAAAGTGCTTTTCTTGCGCTTTCTAAAGAATATTAGATATTAATAAATATCTTAGTGTAAGGAGATTTCAGGCCTAAAATCTCCAAGTGGTCGAGGCACGTTCTCACTCTAGAAATATGTTCTTGTGAGGAAATCTCCATAACGCGCCCTATAGGTCAAGTTTTTCAATCGGTTTCGGAATAAGGGTGTAACAGGCTAGCATACGCATAAGTTCAGTTTCATGAAGAAAACGTCTTGCTAGTAAAATTTATTGTCAAACATTAATTTTCTGTACAGATTTTTTACAAGCTATAACCTTCTGTGAATAGAAGCAATCGACGACTTCAAAGTTGGATGTGCTAGGGTAAAGCAAGGGCTAGCAGAGACCATCCATCAATTTCTTTTCGGCGCTCACGTTATTTGTAAAATTTTCGTAACTCGTAAATAGGCATGCACACATGCACTGAGGCGAGGTCAAAAAGTGGCTTCTTTTTTGCTCGGTCAAAAAAATCTCTCGGCAATGCAGACCCTATGGGCTCTTTTACAATAATCTGCGAAAAATTCTCTATCTATCCATTGTTGGACAAGATGCCTATCATTTCTCATAAGGGAGCACTGCCATGTCAATCATAAGGGAGCACTGCCATGTCAAAAAAGACAGGTTTGAAGAAAAACGCTGTGAAGTTTTTGAGTTCTTGCTCCTTCCTTTACGAAGATTTTCGCAGGTTTCAATATGAGTCTGACAGCCAAGGAATTACTCAACACATAGAAACTAAAATCTTGGAGAAATGTTGACTTTGAAGGGAGTTATGACATTTTAAACTCAAAAAATTTGAATCGGACAGAACTTATGCAGCAACCTAATAATTGTTCGTGGCTAAGCTTCGGCAACAAAGCTCCACCTGCGCACATAATTTTATTTGTGGAACAAAAATAAAGGTCACTTATGGTCAAGTTGCCTCAATCAGTTCCTGTACATTCCACATAAGAACAAATATGTTCCATAGCGGAGGACTATGCGAGAATGGGGTGGGGAGGATTGGAAGGGGGGGGGGGGTTCTGCAACAAGGGAAGTTCGCTTGGTTAAGTGGCGATTTGGAAAGTGATGTATAGTTGGATAAAGCTTAAAATGCTGATTTCAAATATAGCTTCTATATCAGCTTATATCTATGAACCGTCTACATAAAGCAAGTTATGGGCTTTTTTGTGCTTACAATGGAAGTGTGGGAAGGGAATTGGCGACCCGTGAATAACAACATGGATGGACAATACTCGAAAACGTTCAGTCGTATCGGATTGCTACAATGCTTATTAGGTGGTTTGCCTGAGCGTGCATACTTTCGTGTGAGAACTACCGTTTTACGCTCAAAAATACACGACAATTTGACATAAGAAAAGGTCATGACGTTTTTGTAAGAAAAACGCATCGCAGATAAAGAGGTGTCGAGCATCAGCAAAAGCTCTATCCATGGGTATATATCACCTTCCAAATCGAAAGCCCAGACATGAGAACAAACTCTTAGAACTGGAAAGAAAATTTTGCCAACGTTAGCACTAAGGAAATGACATGGACCACTACTCTCGATAGCGACAATAAAACTACAAGAATCCAGAGGTAGTATGAAGGTGAAGCATAGGGTCCTGACATGTAAAAAAGGTTACTGAATGAGCAATGGTTTTGACATCTTTAATAGATTAGCTAATTGAGAGCTTCAATCCTTTAAAATATCCAGGTACCAGTACCTTCCCCAAAGGGCTACAAAACTCTGTTGCCTTAAAGGCAGTGTTCAGGTAAAAACTCGATTTTGAGATTTTGGGCTTATCCAGGCCTATTCCTCATGCTGAATCCGAAAATCCACATCTGAAAGCGCGAAAACGGCGAAAAAGGGCTCTAACGCAGGAGGGGAACAGCCGGTGGGTAGGGTGCTCCTCACCGTGAATTCATGCTTCCAGCTTCCGGAGCGGTCTTCTCGATTCCGCTAGCCGTCCTGACATCGCGGGAGGCCTGCAAGTGGTAGCCGGGCAGCCAACTGTTGCCGCAGCTGATGCGCTTTGTGGCTAGTAAAGCCGCATTCGCGCACAAAGGTATTGCGCCTTTGTGCAGCATCATGCAGCAACCTATAATTCGTCGTCTGGACTCCTGCCAAGGAATGTCCTCGCAGTTCGTCGCGCTGGGTGCAATTTCAGCCTCAGAGGTAGCGTGATATCCTTAATATCTAAATCATTCAAAACGGCAGGAATTCAAAAATTCCAAAAACAATGCAATGGTGGAGTATAAAACTATACCGGAAAATTTCCAAAAATTTAAAAATAAATTGGAAATTGTATAGTTTTTTCTGTTGCAGATTTTGACATCAATGCGGTTTTGTTGAAGCGCCCATTAAGGATGGTTCTTTTGCTTCTTCTAAAATCTGAATCATCTTTCAATATCCAACGGGTTCATGTGTTTTGAAATTTTCCACTATTGGTTTTTCATTTTCAAATTACCTGAGGGAAGTGGTCAATTTTATTAGGAGCCTAAGGATCTCGTTGGCAGTTGTGCAGATTAGAATAAAATATTCTGACTTGGTGATCTACGCCATCCCTTTTATACCAGCTTATGTGGCATATTTTCATCTTTTATCATCGACCTATCTAATCTATTGGACCTATAATATTTTGGCTTATCTAACTCGCTTAAACCACTAGGTCACGAATTTATAATTTTGACTACTATTTTCTTACTGTTGAAGAATTAATAATTTTGACGAGTTTTCTTACTGTTATATACTTGAGATATTCCTTGATTGCTCCCATCCACTCTCCGACGTTAAAAGGAAAATAAGATCTTTTAAAAAATGAAGATTTCTTGGATTTTTCAGCTTGTGCTTATCTGGTATTGCGATAGTTTTGGGATTTGCTAGTTCTCTTCAAAGAAAGCTTGTTTATTTGCATGGTCCTCAAAAGATTATGTATTTTTTTGTTCAGAATGATAGAGATATCGAGGATATCACGCTATTTGCCCGGGTAAGCACAAAATCTCAAAATCGAGTTTTTGCCCGGACACACTGCCTTCAAAAAAGCAGAAACAAAATCAAAATTTAGAAAAACTTCTTTATTTGGTGTTTTTTCAGCATAACGGTGTTATTCAATCATACCTAAGCTTACCCAAATCGAATTACCCAGATTTTCGACACTATGTTTTGAATGCTGATGAGACCAATCATTAGGGGATACAGACTCGTGCTGAAGTTCTTCGTCAGGTATTAAGATATCCTAAAAAGAAGTCTAATGTAACGTGACAATTTTCAGTCTATTGAATTATACATATTAAGTGAAACACTGAGAGAAAACACAAAAATTAGACATCCTCACCGTTCTATAAGCGTTAGAATCTTGTTCCTTAAATCGAAATTTCACAATACCCTTCTCATCTACGAAAGCGTCAGTATGTTCTCTAAAAATGCACTTTTTGAAAGAAACTGGTTTTTCACTAATACCTGAGAGCATGAATCGCATAGATAAGGAAAAAGTGATCAAATCTTGTCGAGATCTCTTTGAGAAGTTCTTCTGAAAGTGGATGAAGAGCTCCATGTTTCTCCGAAAAAACTCGCAGCGAGTCTTAAAAGTAAACGTGTGTTTTTATTTCATATTTCAGTGAAACCAAAACTATCTCACGATATTCTTCATAAGGCATGTCATACATAGCTTCTTTGAATAATCTCTCGTGTCTGACCCATGTGCGCAAAGACTTTGCAATATAATTAAGTAGGCTAACTTTCTAAAATGAAAATTAGTAGGCTTGCTGATTTCATACACAGCTGTAAGTATTAGGTTGGCTAAAAATAAGTTCGTTATGGCATACAAATCTTCATTAGAAATTTTCTTGTTGATTTTTATCTATGATTCTCTGTGGGAAAGTAGCTTAAAGCTTCCTCTATCACATATCAAATAATCAGGATTTTCTATAGTCGGTAAAGACAGTTATGTCTCAACATGGCGCAATTTCCAAAAGCTCAATTCTCTGACTTCCTAAGCTTCGTTTTCATGCTGTAATGAATTCAAAGAAGAGCAGTTTGGTTTTTGGCCAGGAGTTTTCCCTATTTAGTGAATAACAGGACAAATTGTGATATGCAACTTTGAAATGTGTCACCAAGAAAACCAAATTTTCTCATATTTGCGCACTATGAGAAAACTGCGCCTTCTCACTTCTTTGTGGATTTTTTTCTATGGAAGGTAAGTCTCACTCAAATAGAATATATGCTCCAATACCCATTGAAGTGGTCTTTCCAGAGACACCAAACTTTGGACAAAAATTTTTCTGCAGCATCTCTGAGAGCTGCAAAAGCGACCGAACTTATTTATTAGCCAACCTAATATTTTAGCGCAAAAATTCCAGAAATAGAATCTAGTTCGCGATGTTATATACGCGTAAAGGACCTCAGAGGCAGCGTCCAGGCAACATCTATGTTCCCCCGATTAGTACCTAGTCCACAAGAAGGCTCTTGGACTAGAATATCTAGGTGCTCGGGCCGTCTAACGTGGCCTCTGAGTAGAAAGAATAGATCTGGAACATTGTTCACTGCATCACTGTAATAAGGGCTACGGAAAGGCCCAAAAATGGAAGACGAAGAATTGTCTGGATGTTGCCAATGAAGAGGAGCGGAGATGTAAAATCGTTTAAATTTGTTGGCATTTGATGTGAAAAGTCATAAAAATCATTTTTGGCAACTCTTCATTATCCGCAAAACTAATTTTGAAATTGCAAGCGCTTAGAGTCGCTGATAATATTAATTGCGCCAAATAACTTCTAAAAAGGACTAAGTGCTGACCAACCTTTTCAAACGCAAACCAGTCAGATGCAGCTAACAACACTCTCTCCACGTAAACCTTTACTACGGATGTGCGAAGCACTTCTATTTCTGTTCTGCAACACAAGCAAAACAGGTTAGCAACAAAACTATGTGAGAAGGTTCAAGCACCACTAGAAATTAAGCTTACTTTGTCACTGCATATTTGCATTGCCTGCAAAACAGTACAATAACTCTAAATTAGAAAAAAGAGAGCTTAGCCTTACCTGTGTCGCTCTCTTGACTGAAAATGTTTCAAAGATCTAGCATATTCATTCAGTTGGGCTACAAAGATAGGGAACTCGGAAGCAAGCTCGAAAAATAGCTTTTCTCCAAGTATCAGTCTAGTAATTTCCGCTACAGGAAGATGTGCAATCTGATAGGGATAAGATAAAAGCCAAAGCTTTTGTATAAACGATCCTTACTTGGTAAACTAGCGATGAGCAGTCGTTTCCAGATTGCCAATCGTCAAATGTTGATGTATAGAGATCACTCAATGGCATACAACTTTTCATCCTCTGGAAATATTTTGAAAACTGAAAAATAGGACATCTTCGCAGCACAATTCGCCAGAATACGTCAATTAAAACCTCTTTTCCATGAGGCTCCATCTCAAAATAGCTGGCTGCTTTTTGGATTCTAACAGCAAACTATCTTATTTCTGTGTGAAAAGCGACAAATTTGGTTCCCACTTCAAGTCAAAAAATATCAACTACCTTCTTCAAAAAACTCTGGATACTTTCCATTTTACCTGGCTGAATGTCGATGCTAATTTCATTGGCATTTTTGCGCCAATAGTGTCACGAAAAATTTAACATTCAAATAATCGTTAGAAAGCAGGTAAAAACTTCTGTTTTTGTAAGATAAATGAATTTATAAAAGGGTTTATGACCTAAAACATTCGGCTGGAATTTGACATACTCTCTTACGGTTTTCGCTAAATTCTAACTTAGAAAAAGTGTTGAATAAAGCTTACGCAAGAAAATAAGGAAAGAAGAGAACCTAAAAAATGGCAAAATCCGCCTCCTTGGCCCTAGAGCACTCCCCCCTATGTACTCACATATAGTAGCACATACGAGAGTACATCCGCTTTCACTTTGTACATGAACTACATGCCAAGAAACGATTGACTAGAAATATAATAACTTCTTGGCTTACTTGATATGTTTAGCAAATCAAGACTGCTAGATAAGAACTAAACGTGAAGGCAATCAAAGAACTTCTTTGCAAGTGGAAATCATTACATTAGCTTTTACGTGTGAAACTTTTCCTCTAAAGAAGGCTCTTCCTTCATCTGCTCGCACAACCGAAAAAGTTTGTACCTCATCAGACACGCATAGATGAAACTTGGGGCCGAGAGCATGTACTTCCTTATCGAATGCGGATGTAGCGAGCGGATCCTGTATAAAAATATACTAAAGTTGACAGATTCCGGGAATGCATTTCCTATATATATATGTCACCTTCAAACGAAAGAAAGCGCTTCCATCGTCTGAAAACCTCAGAACTGTTTGATCTCTGAATTTGTTCAATCAACAAGGCTTCGCAAGTCTAAAGTGGAGACTTACCTAACGGCGTGCATGCAGTACAGCACGAAAAATCGCATAGCATTTGCAAAAAGACATTCCAAAAGTTTCTTTACTTCATATTCCGGTAATTTCGTAGCTTCCTTTACGGATAACGGATTTAATCGCAACGAACCTGCAAAAGTCTTTATTTAGTTGTCATTTTCAGGATTCAACTCACAAGGGAACCATGTTTAACTGAAATGGCCTTTTTAGATAGGATGTAAACCATACCGGAGAGAATCAAAAGCTGATTCCAAATCTGGGTTCCTCATTTGCGGAACGTTTGTGAAAGAGGGAGTATGAGGGTTTATTGAGCAAAAAGAAAAAGTGCAGCTAGATAAAATAAGCTGCTGAACCCCCTAGCTCTTAAGTAAAGCGACCAAGTGTGCTATCCCTTTTTGAGACTATTTATTGAATGAGGTCTTCTGACAATCACCATTGCTCCATTAAAGGCAGCGTCCAGGCAGATTTGGACCTATGTCGATTTTACGTGAGAAGTAATTTCGGGGCCCTAACTAAGGCATGCCCAAGTGGCAGCTCAGGTAGTGCTCTAACGGCTGAGATATTCCCCTCAAAACTGGACCCCGCGATCGTATGCGCATGGATTCATGGCAGTTTCGCGCGAGAATCCACGCGTTGCGCCATGAATCCATGCGAAATACGATTCTGAGGTCGTTTCGAGCGGAATATCTCAGCCGTTAGAGCACTACCTGAGCTGCTGGTTGGGCAGTGGCTTATTTAGGGCCCCCAAGTTACTATCCACATGAGAACCTTATGTGTCCAGACTTGCCTGGACGCTGCCTTCAAGCACTAGAAATAATGCACACGTAATTTTTTATTTCAATAAAAGCTCACCTTCTCATCTATGAATCTACGCAGTAAGAAAGGCAAATTTGAAATCAGCGTTTTATGCTTTCCTGGTGGTATACATCCCATCTAAAAAAGCCATTTCGACTAAACGTGGTTTCCTGTCAGTCAGATTTCAAGCTATTATTTGGTATACTTATACCAATGGTTTTCCTCCGATTGCGAATTATGCGAAGTTATGAAAAAAACTTGCGACAGCGTTATAACTAATTCCTGCACCAAAAGTTCCAAAAAATCGCAAAAATGCCTAAGCATCCGTTTTTGTTTGCTGCATATAAGATATGTAGTATTTCATATTTCGGTATTTAGTATTTCATATTTCAAAAAATTACAACTTCTGGTAGTCAAAAAAATAGTGGAATATATTAGGTCATTCCGAAAGTAATTTCGCTTTTTTCAAATGGGCGCCACATTTGAAGGAACAAAGTTTTTTAGGAGATCTTGGTAGCGTTCGATGCAGCTTGTCATCCTCTTTCTAACAGTCAAGAAATCGTTGCAGCGTACTCAATGAGCTTTCGGAAAATAACCAAAATCTGCAACCCATGCTTTTTGAAATAGTCAAGTTTCACGATTTTTCAAAACTTTCATGTCAATCCTCAGAAGGAATCCAAGTAATGGTTCGGTAGAGTAAACATTATAGAATACAGCACTATTTTTTTCTTCTTCTCATAGCTTGCCGTAATTTTTTAAAAGATTTTTTAACAGAACCATCGGATTTTGGCAGGCCCACCTCAGCCACAATTGCACCAAACATCAGTAATTACTTGGAATCTCAAGCTTTCAAGATGATATTTGACTTAATATTGATTTTATTAAGCAAATGAGAATTTATGGATTCGAAATACCAAATTTCGAGTTTTTCGGGTACAGCCTGGGCTCGCTAAAACAATGAGTTGTGATGATTTTGTCCCCGGAAATGAAACGAATCGGAGATAAAAAGCGCCCGTTAAAAAGAGGAGAAATTGCTGCATTGAATAGTGCGTGAGCTGCTCTTCTTTTGATGTTCTACGAGGATTTAGCTGCCCAAATATGGAAATCGGTAGCATCAGTTAAAATTCTGTCAAAAATGCATGACAAGCTATGGAAAGGAGAAAAAAGTAATGCTGTATTCTATAAGATTTACTCTATCGAATACTTACTTGAACTCATCCTGAGGATTGATATGAAAGTTTTAAAAAATCGTGAAACTTGACCATCTCGAAAAGCATAGGTCGCAGATTTTGGTCATTTTCTGAAAGCTCATTGACTGTGCTGCAACATTTTCATAACTGCTAGAAAGAGGATGAAATGCTGCATCGAATGCTACCAAGATTTCCAAGAAAACTTCGTTCCTTTAAATGTGGCGCCCATTTGAAAAAAGCGAAATTACTTTCGGAATGACCTAATACAATGTAGTATACAAACCATTTCGGTAGTTCGTCTCTAACAACTTTCATCGCCACTCTGTAATTACAATATTTTATGTTTTGAGCATTTATAAAAAGCGCATGATTTCCTCTTTCGATCATAAATAAAGACGGATTCATTGTTTTGGGAAAACCTACACATTTCCAAAAATTTGTACAAGACTTATGTCACAACCTAGTATATCGGTGGCAAACAAAGGTAATGGGAATGTTGCTCTTTCGAGCTTCTAGGTTCTCAAAATTTACAGAGGATACATGGCTTTACTTTCTTTTCTGACATTGTAAGAAGAAGTATTTTCCTGCTAATTCCTGACCAAAAGTTCCACCGAATTTGTGCAGCTGCTTGTATATCACTCTCAAAACGCTAAGACTTACAGTGCGGCTTACTATAAAACGAGTCATTAATAAGCGCCACTCCGGGTTGAAGTCCAACAAGTCGACGGGCAAGATGGAATGAGATTTCTTTCCTCTAAATATTCTTTTATCTAAGACTATTCGTGATAGAAACCGCAAGAAGCTTACCTGTCCTTTGTACCAAAATGAGTCCTGCACGATAAATCGCAGAGTATATTCGAAGAAGAGACTTATGCCAGTGATTGTGAGAAATTCTTCGCTGAATTTTTTGATAGTCAACCCAAGTAATAGTTCAAATAAGACTAAAATCCATGATTTTGGTTATTGTTGCAACGTTTCATGTTTTGGCCACTAATGTGGAAGAGCAAAACTCAGATGATCTTCTCCTTTTTTGCGGCGATAATTTGACAAAGATAAGAAGCTTGAAGCGACGTGCCGCGATTTGAAGGACCTGTACAACAACGACAGTGTTTCTATTTTCTATGACTCCAAATCCGCAAGATAGGCTGCATTCCTGCAAACTAAACTACACCTAAGAGAACGACACCTTCAAGTCTGATTTATAGCTGCGCGAACAATTTTTGACACTGTGAGTTTCGAACCTGGTTCGAAAAAAGGAAGAAAAGAAAATTACTCGAGCTTCGATGTTTCAACGCAAATTCGCCAACATCTGGGCTGTCTCATAAATCTTTACGGTTTTCACCCTGAAAACCAGCATTTCTCGAGAACTGGGGCACGTACAAAGGGCACCAATACATGATCGTACTTCTGAATGTATGAGTTACATAATTACGTGTATGAGAGGCAAGATATCAGGGGCGGAGTTTGCCAATTTACTCCAATCATTTTTTTCTTTCTAGCCACGGAAAAAATGCGGAAAATGTACAATTGAATGCCCAATGTGTCAAGCATATGCTGGGATAAATGGGGAATTGAGAGTTTTTCGGAGATACGATTTTTGACAATAAGGTTCATTTTGACTACTATCAGATATCAGCTTCAAACTTCATGTGAACTACGATTTAAGCGGAATCTTAATAGCCATCTTGTAGAGCTTGCTCGCCCTCTCGAATGATCAGAAATCCGATATCAATTGAAGGAAAGAAAAAGACCGTTGTAACAAAAACGGTAAAAAATTATGAGACATTCATCTACATACTTATAATCTATGTAGTATTATCCATAATCGTCGATAGCATGAGTTTAATAACCTAATCTTTTGCTTATCGAAAATCCATGATATCCGCTACAGTAAACAGCTATATTTTTTTGACATTTCCCTTTACATAATATGGTTGACTAATGGATAGGTTTCGTCGCTTTTACGTCCCTCAAATGTTGCAGACAAATTTTTCTCATTGTTGTTATCTAAAAGGAGCATTTCAATGAAAATTGGAATATAAATCTGTAAGTAGAAATCAGTTCTCGATGGAAAAAGCAAAGAAGTAAAATAACCAGGTAGTTGATTTGTAATGGTAGGAGCTTCAAACTACTTCAACGCAAAAAAAAAATTCAAGGATAACGAGCAATGACCAAATATCTATGAAGATTTACATGCCAAAACGAGCTTACTTCTGAGCCAACCCAATACAGTTGCAGCGGTAGAATTTGTCCAAAATTGCGGGATTGTCGGGATTCGCGGGATTTGCGGGATTTGCGACTTCGCGGGATTTGCGGGATTCGCGGGATTCGCGGGATTGAGCTATAACTTCTTTTAGAACAACTTTATTTGTAATCTGCGTAAAGATTTGGCTTCAGCTTGATGAGACGAATCTTCTGGTATACAATATGTCCGTAATTCATAGTGACACGGTAGACATATGGTGATACCTTGTTATTTTCTATGTTAAGGCTTTTGTGAACATCTATCACCGTGTAAATCGCGAATAGGAGATTCTGGTACGAAGTTCCCATTATCGAAAACTATCGCGAAAAAATGGGCAGTTTTTATTTACCCTTATCACTGATACAAGCATTTTATCATTTATCACTGATAATATCATATTTTTGGATCATTTTTGGCACATGGTAAGAAAAGTAGTGGAGGAAACGCTGTGTGAATTTCTATCGCTCTTTCTCTCATTATAAGAGATCTACAGGATTTCCTAGTTCTATTGTTCGGTCAATTGGTAGATCCCTCGCTGCAGCAATCGATCGATTTCTCATCGGCACATGCCATTGCTGCTAGTTCTTACCTGAAATGGCATTTTCGCTTCATCTCGCTTCACGCCGAAGCCTGGGCTGAAATTCTGCACCTATATGGAAGATGAACGTGGAAATCGACCGCGTGAATTTAAGCCATTCTTATTTGTCGTTATCACTGATATCACCATTTTATCATTTATCACTAATGATATCACAAAATTGGATCATTTTTGACATACAGTAAGGAATGTACTTTAGGAAACGCTGTGCGAGTTTTTACCGCTCTATCTCTTATAGAATGTGATCTACAGGCTTTTTCGGTTCAATTGCGCATTCGGTGCAGTAGGTAGATGCTCTTTCAAAACATTCACCGCTCTATAAATTGTGAATGAGCGGAGTCGCCTGTCGACAGGAGTTTCAAAGATGAGCTGAACACTTCTGTTTTCTGCGTATGACATACAAATTCAGATCCACAAAGGTGATCGATCTAAGGTGCGAAACGGCGCAAACGCGTGCTCGAGCATCTTTCCATCAGAGTCCACACGCCCGCGAACGATGCGCGTACATAGGCTGTTGCCTCCCTATCGAAGTCTTCTTGAATTCTTTCATGCTCTACTCTATTTCTTGCTATCTACAACAGCTCACAAAAATGCAGATTTTCTTTGTATGTCGTGAAATTCCGGGGGTTTTGCGAAAGTCCGCAACGTTCTGGGAGTTTTGCGACATTAAGGGATTTCCGCGGAATCACGCGAATCACGCAAACTACACAACGCCATAACTCCATTCAGATGAATAAATTCTGAATCCGATTCCGTTTCCACTTTTCTCAAATTCTTCTGCGGAGGTCTGTTTGCGAGGATGTAACGCAGCGCCTACCTAACATAAAGGATACTGATAAGTAATATTTGATAGTACGGTTCTTCTAAATTAAGCGCACTAAAGTATAGCTGCGGATTTCTTTCCAGAAGAAACATAAGCGTTGGTGAATTCTGGAAAAATCACGCGTTTTTAAGTTCTATTTGTCATAACTTCCTTCGAAATGAATATATTCTGAATCCGAAAAAAGCATCGTGCTCAGCTCGTTAAGGCGAACCTTTCGATATGCAGCATGCCCTTGATATTCCCATTTCAGTATATGTGAATCTTTCTGCGGACGTCACTTTGCAAAGATGTAAAGTAGCGCGCATTGCCCCTAGTAGACTATTGTAAGGGCGATTCGGTAGTACCTCCCTTGCAGATTAATGATCGCTAAATAGTCTTCGCAAACTTCTTTCGAAGGGAGATAGAAGAACTGGTGAATTGGGAAAAATCTTGTCGCAGGAACTTCTACTTGCCACAGCCCTAGAATACGAAGCTATCTTGCTAAGCAGATGTGAATTTCGAAATCAGCAGGCCAGATAACCTCTATGAGCAAGTTTCCCGGGATGTTCGGGTTATTTCATTTTTTCTCGTTTTACGCTCTGGAAGCTCGCCGATGGATATTGGTCAAAATGTTGATGCTCTTGAATTGTTAGGAAACTTCGCTTATAGAGGTTTTCGAACACGCTGTTTACGAAAATAGTGGTCTTTGAAGAAGACAGGGTCTTTTTGTAGAGATATTGTGAGGTGACTGTAAGTGAGTCATGAAAGTTCGTAAATTTGCCTGCACTTTTCGCGAATTTGCCAGAAAACTTGCCTGCTTGCTTTTCTAAGTCAAAATCACTAGGAACTGTGCTATCAAAAGGTGCATGCCCAGGCTCCAGTCTATAAAGTTCTCCGAGTTACGAGTCTACGAAAACACGTCCTCATGAATTTCGCTCAAAGTGTAAAAATCGCGTATTTCGTCGAAATTCCACCCTGAGTGGTTGTATGACATACTGATCAAATCTGTTCACATTGGTTAATGGTCAATTTATGATTTATAGACAATTTATAGAGCGGTGAATGTTTTGAAAGAGCATCTATCTACTGCACCGAATGCGCAATTGAACCGAAAAAGCCTGTAGATCACATTCTATAAGAGATAGAGCGGTAAAAACTCGCACAGCGTTTCCTAAAGTACATTCCTTACTATATGTCAAAAATGATCCAATTTTGTGATATCATTAGTGATAAATGATAAAATGGTGATATCAATGATAACGACAAGAATGGCTTAAATTCACGCGGTCGATTCCCACGTTCATCTTCCATATAGGTGCAGAATTTCAGCCCAGGCTTCGGCGTGAAGCGAGATGAAGCGAAAATGCCATTTCAGGTAAGAACTAGCAGCAATGGCATGTGCCGATGAGAAATCGATCGATTGCTGCAGCGAGGGATCTACCAATTGACCGAACAATAGAACTAGGAAATCCTGTAGATCTCTTATAATGAGAGAAAGAGCGATATAAATTCACACAGCGTTTCCTCCACTACTTTTCTTACCATGTGCCAAAAATGATCCAAAAATATGATATTATCAGTGATAAATGATAAAATGCTTGTATCAGTGATAAGGGTAAATAAAAACTGCCCATTTTTTCGCGATAGTTTTCGATAATGGGAACTTCGTACCAGAATCTCCTATTCGCGATTTACACGGTGATAGATGTTCACAAAAGCCTTAACATAGAAAATAACAAGGTATCACCATATGTCTACCGTGTCACTATGAATTACGGACATATTGTATACCAGAAGATTCGTCTCATCAAGCTGAAGCCAAATCTTTACGCAGATTACAAATAAAGTTGTTCTAAAAGAAGTTATAGCTCAATCCCGCGAATCCCGCAAATCCCGTGAAGTCGCGAATCCCGCGGATCCCGACAATCCCGCAATCCCGACAATCCCGCAATTTTGGACAAATTCTACCGCTGCAACTGTAGTTCAGTAGAGAAGTGAGATAAGTAAGAATCTTACTTTGTTAAAAATAGTAGGCACAGATCTTATCAATTTGTTTCGAAATAAACAGCAATTCTAAATTTCTGCACGTCAACCCAAATCCAAGGGTGTTCTTATTGCTCTAGTGTATCTTCTAAAACTTGTGCTTAATGGAGCTGGATGTTTGTTTGTCTGTCGTATGTATGAACAAAAATTCCATTTGTGAACCGATCCGAACCAAACTTGGCACACATACACTTCGGCGGGGTGGGTGTCGTAGGCTACTTTTCGTTGTCGATCCATATCGATTTTATCGATTTTCTGCAAAGTTTGAGTTACGGAGCTGGGAGTTGGCACAGGGGGTTAACGAGCATGCTGATTACTAAAACAGCGGGAATAGTGAATGGCATGCAGATGTGGTCACAGGGAAAGGTTGTATAGGAATAAGGATGAGAGCTTTATCATAGTGTTTTGGCAGGGCGAGCGAAGCTGAGGAAGCCAGCTAGTTCCCTATAATAAGTCAAGGTCAAACAAAGCTACTGACATAGAAAGGAGCAGGAATTTTCAAGGAATTTCCGGACAACTTGCGCTGGAACTGATGATATTGAAAAAATTACATTTCGGGAAGAACCCTCTGCAAAAAAGGGCCTAACTCAAAGTCCATGGCATGATCATACATTCTCAGAGTTCACTGAAGCAACACTGACCCTTACCCATCTAGTTTCATTACTTAAAAACCATAAATCTATGCTGTTGTTATATTAAAGTGGCCACTGAACGAACTCACGAGCAATCTTCATACAAAAGCAGACGAGCGCAATGCTGGCACACAAGAGGTTCACTAGCTACCGCTCTAAAAAATAATTTCTGCAAAGGTTTGTCTTAAGTTATCACTCAATTAACCTCAGATGTAGGCGATTGTGTCTCTCCTTCAGTGCAATACAGAAGTTCAACATTTCCATCCCGATAGATGAGTCTCTAATCATAAGGAAAATACGGCTGCCACACAGGAGACTGGCAAGATCTTCAGCATGAAGGTAGGAGGCCTAAAAATGGAGGACTAAGACTTTTTACTTTGGGATTTTTTTTGCAAATTTTTACTACCTCGTCTAGCATTGAACCTTTCTTGCAAGCTTCATCGCTGAAGTCATCAAGTGTTGGAATATAGACTCGACCATCGATATAAGTGTTTTCCCAATGTTCTTTTGGTAATATTCTCTTTTTCTCCACATTCTCCACATTTGCAGATGTTTCCTTACAAACAGGTGATTTTTGTGCAACAATCTTCTCTTGCTCTTTTCTCAATCTTTTCCTGATTTTCTTCTCTCTTCTTTGCTGTTGCCGCAGCTCTGCGATTGACAGAGTCACGGTTTTTTCTTTTGTTTTGGTAGTTGTGCTTTTCCTCTTTGCTCTAGTCATCTTCTTGGTCAAAGTGCCAAATCTAAACTGCAAATTCGTCAGTGAAAGAAAGTCTAAGAATACAACGAAAAAACTATATTTCGCAAAAACTAATCTACGATCAGCTTCAACAAACGCAAACAGCTTCTGCAAGCATTGCGGGAACCGTACGGGAATTCCAAATTAAGGGATCGTTTAGATCCCTGGGTAAACCTGTGGTGGGATTCCCGGTCACCCCGCGAATCTACAAGCCCAGTCCCGCTGGTTGATGCTCCCTTCGCGTCGAGTAAATGACTGTTGTATAGACCTCGACACGGCACCCAATTGACACCATGCGTCAAAAGTGCGTACTTGATGCCAGTACAGTGCTCACCAATTACCTCAAGCCTGTAATTGATGTTTTTCAGCTTTACTTCATGCTCGTCTCTCCGGAGTACGCAAAATGATTGAACAAAGTTTTATAGAACTGAATCATTTTGAATATTGCTACTTGTATTGAAATCTTATGGTATGGGGGGTTATTTATTGTGCTAATCCCGAAAATGATATCCGTTTTGCTTGACAGTCGTTTGTTATTGCTGCAGCAGCTGATCTTACTTGAGCCGAAACGACCGAATTGCCTAGGCCTTGTTTAATGAAACTGTTCTGCATGGTAATTTGAGAAATAGTATCTATCTTATGGTAGTTCTTTCATGAAACTTATAAAAAGCAGAGATGTCAGAATGGATGACTCTCCAGTGACTTAGTTTGGAGTTATTTGATGTGTTAAATGGAAGTTGAGGACAGAGGACAAAGAGGCTGTCTTTTCTGAATACTCAAGTAGGTATCGCAAGGTCTTTGGAGTGCTTGAGCCAATAACTTTTATCATTTCTGACCGTTCAGGGGCTTCCGTAGGCTCTTCGAGCGCATAAGAGATAATATAAAAAATTGGCATTTTTTTGTCTTGGTAATATTTCTTACAGCAAGTAGACAACTTCATCCTACAAATTCTAGACAATTCTGTGGTTTTGGCTTCAGTATCGGGAAACTGCTCAGACAATTGTTGCAGTGGCCCGGTCGCCCAACTAGGTTTCGATGTTGAGCCGCGGCACCAATATCTCAGCCTTACATGCATCAGGCCCAGCGGCGGGCCAGAAGTGTGAGCTGGCGACCCGCGCGCATAGTTGATGCCATGCTGACGGTGGCCCGCACGCCTATATAGGCTCATAATTTCACTGCTGCCCGCGCAGTGCGCGGGCATAGTTGCGACAGGGGGAGTGATGGATCTTACCCCTTCACTTTGAGGCCAAACTCCCGATGACCCCCTTCATCTGGGCTGAGATTGGTATTGTACTCTGAGAATACGATAAAAATCGCTATTAAAAGGTTTTGCAGGCTAAGTACCTCAAACGACAAGTACACTCATAAATTTACAAAAGAAACGGTATTTATTATTTATAATATTTATTTATCCTCGTAGCATTCATTTGGAGAGCAGAAAGTGAGGACACAAAATCAGTTGATTTTTGAAGCACATAAAATCCCTCATATCTCGCGGCACAGAAGACCTAGAAAAAAGTTGACGGCCTAATTCGATTCTCCAAGATCTCAGCTTTCGAATGGTATAAAGCATGTTAGGGTTTTTTTTGATTCCCGGCTCTAAAAATCGTTTGCTCCGGTGACCCATAAAAGCCAACACATTGTATAAGTCGTCCCGAAAGTTCTTGCGCACGATTTTCAAAAATCATAATTTCTGACTTTTTCAACCGATTTGACTGCTTTTATTTCCGTATGAAACAGTAAGTCATGTTTTTTATAATGACATCTTATCTGCTTACTGATGGTCATCTGTTGCATAGATAGGAGCGATAGAACAAAATTGGTCAAAATTTGAATTTTCTGTGTAGGGTCATGAAAAATCGGAGACTTGCAACAAAAATCGGAGCAGTCAGTATTGTAGGTTCTTTCACCAGCTCCTTCTAACAGTGCAAAGTTTGCGCTGATTGAGGGTCTTATGAAAAGTTATGATTTTCGAGCAAGCGATACAAAAGGGCGAATTTGGTTAATTTGGTATTTTTCAGGGAAATCATAACTTTCCATAGAAACGCTCAATCGGCCCAAACTTTGCACTGTTAGAGAGAGCTGGTGGAAGAACCTACAATACTGACTGCTCCGATTTTTGTTGCAGGTCTCCGATTTTGTATGACTCTACACAGAAAATTCAAATTTTGACCATTTTTCTTCTATCGCTCCTATCTATGCAACAGACGACCATTACTAAGCAGTGAGATGTCATTATAAGGAGCATGACTTACGCTTTCACACAAAATTGAAAGCAGTCAAATCGGTTGGAAAAATCAGAAGTTATGAATTTTTGGAAATCGTGCGCAAAAACTTTCGGGACGACCTAATAAGAGCGAGGTGGAGCAAGTTAATAGTAAAAAATGTGCTGTGGATTGACATCGTCATCAGCACTAACGGGAACGTGAACGAACGCGTCTATTTAAGCGTGCTTATCGTTGTTATATGTTCATGTTTTTTCGGTAAAAAATGCGCTTTTGATTGACAGTTATGCCATCATTATTAGCACGCACTCAAAAAACTATGGGAGGTTGGTGAATTTAAACACCTTCACACAAAAACCCACCCATTTCTGGAATCTGTACTCTGTAAACCTGGTGCTGAAGAAGGTCACTTTCGTGAAAACGCTCTAGACTCACCATACCTAATTTGTAGAGAATGGTTGGTTTCAATGAATCAAAAACTTTCAGACATTCAGAAGAATAACATGTTATTAAAATATCCCTCAATGTTTTGGAAAGGTTGGCAGTATGAAGAGGAAACGGCAGGCAGAATACTTTACAAAATCGCAGATGACTCGCATGTGTTCCAGTTCCACAGCGAGGCAGAAGGAGAATTTTGCCGACAAAAATGTTGTCGACTTTGATACAGAGTTTACAATTGAGCGAAACTCTCTGATTTCCTACATAAGGAATCCAAGGAGATTGCCTATTTTCAATGAGGAAATGTTCAGGAACCATTGCTGATCTTCAGGTTGCTGAAGATTTTAAGGCTGCTAAATTCACAAACATGGATATGAACAAAAGGAAGGTATTAGTACAAAGCATAGCTACTGCTCTTAGATCCCGACTAAAGTGCGAACCCAACTCCGTGCTTTATGCTTTTGGAAGTTATTCGCCTTGTGACATTATGACCTATGATATTGAAAAAAAAAACAACGCGTAGCATAGTATTTTTTACCGCTATTCCGCAGAGGCTGTTAAAGAAAAAGTTGAGCAGCTTTCTCATCAGCTAACAGGACGTATGTTAGAGGAGGTGAAGTCAGAGTTCGACAAGGCCCAAAAAAGTATGCACTATTTCCTTCCCGTGTTGCGAAAGCATATGCGATCTGGCTCTTTTCCCATTACTTACCGCAAAAATCTGATGGACTTACTGGCAAAGCTAGTTTCCATTTCGACTAGCACGGCAGGGGTGAAGAAAGAAATTTTCTATCTACTCTGTTATCACAACAACGCAGATCGTACAACGATGGAGCATCTAAGCAATTACTTAAGGTTTGTCAACCTTCTTCTAAACATATTGTTATCTAAAAACTTCATTCAAAGGATTGGTATAAGTGGTCCAGACAGGCTGTTACCGTATGACTTTTTGAAATATCCTAAAAGATGATATGAAGAAACTGGTCACCTACCTGCTGACTTTCCTGGTGCTACCAGAGGGCCAGGAAAGAATTCACAAAAGCGCTTAGAAGAAGAAGAAAGTTTCAAATCCATTTTCGACTCAGAACGCTTTTGCACGCAATTCTATCTTCATAAAGATGCACAGATCTTCATAAAGTTAATTTTTTTAAAAATTTTTCAGTTTCTTTTAAAAATTTTTAATTTTTTTTTCAATCTGTGCCTAAATAAGGTACAAATTAGAGCTCTTTATACCACGCTTTTTCACCTTTTCTCTCTTCCTCCCTCCCCCCTAGACTCACATACCCCCTTCACCCTGGAAGGCGGGAACAGCCGAGACCCCCCTCATCTGGGGAGAGCCCGGCTAACTCTATCGCACCTATGCCGCGCACCCATACACATGCATGCTGAAATTAGCAGCGACCCGCTCATCCATATAAATTGATGCACGTTATGAGCACAAATTTAACTCGCGTGAGATACGACGCAGTGAAAGAGATGCCATCGGAGCTTCCTGGAGGTGTAGCATTTGCATTTAGGCTGACAAAAGTTTTGCATATGGGTTGACCTTCTATGGGATTTTGAATAATCTCGTGTAGTTCGATCAGTAGTGTGATTGCAGGAACGAGTTTCACTATTTTTGATTTCACATGGGTTGTATCCACATTTGAGGTGACACGCGCATATAGGTGCAGCCGAGCAGAAGCTCTAGGGTGGCCCTGGTATACCAGCGCGGGCCAACAAGGCAAAGGAGACATTGAAATACAGGCTGACCCGCTCGTCCGGGTGACAGGGTCGCTGTAAATACTGAAACCGTCGCTGGCCCGCGCTAGCATGGCAGGGCAAGGCCCGGAACGGGTTTTCGCCCAGCCTGCCATGCGCGCGGGTGGCCGCAAAAAATGTCTGAGTGCTGCAGCTATAGGCCGTCCGCGCTGCGCACGGAGAGCAACGCTGTTGCGTACATTGAAGGCAGTTCACGACTGGAAGAAGGGCAGAGAAAAACAGGCGGCGAAAAAAATGGCGCTCGCGCGACCCCAAACGGCGCGCGCTCGAACGGCTTCACTTGCCTGTTCGACGCGGTACCTTACAACCGCTCCCGCATTGTACATGCTATCCAAAGCAAAAATTACAGGCGGAAGGGTCTTCATGCCGGGTCTTCCAACTTTCCATTTGGAACTCTCGTTCGTGATGCATTTTAGAAATTAAGTAAACGATCCAAAATGGTCTTTTCACCCCGTTCGAAGCTCAAGTTCTGGTTCTACGTGTCGAAAAGGCCTAAATTATGCAGAAACATGGAAATGCAAAATCTGCCACTGCCTTTAAAGGCATTGCCTAGGTCAACTGAGGGGTGGTGGGATTTTGATGAAATGCTGGAGCACGGCTTCTGGCTAATGCAACAGTTCAAGTCCGATTAAAAGAGCTGGATTTTGAAGCGAAAAAATCGCTCCGGGAAAAAGGGGCGATCCGCCAATTCCCCCTCCTTGACAAGTTTTGACGTGGCGAATGTTGTAGATCTAATGTGTTAAACAGGTCAAAACTTGTCGAGGAGGTGGGATTAGGGTGCCGCCCTCTTTTTCCTAAGCGTTTTTCTCGCTTCGGAATCCAGCTTTTTTCATCGGACTTGAACTGTTGCATTGGTCAGGAGCCATGCTCCACTGCGTCTCCCACCACCCCTCAGTTGACCTGGACAATGCCCTTAAAGGCAGCGTCCCGGCAGATTTTGCATTTCCATCTTTTTGCATGTTTTGAGCCTTCTCGAGCCGTAGATCCCGAATCTGAGCTTCAAAAGGGGTGAAAAGGCCTTTTTCAAGGTGTTTTCTTCAATTTTCAAAAGGCAGCTCGGACGAGAATTTTCGAAGGAAAGTCGGGAGGCCCTGGCACGAAGACCCTGCCGCCTGTAATTTTGGCTTTGTATAGCATGCACAATGCGGGAAAGCGGTTGGGGGGGGGGGTCCCGCGCCATCTAGCTAAGGGCCGCATGCACTAACATCCCTGCGGCGAGGGGAGCGACGTCCCCAATGATGAAAAAGCCGCAGCGGCGTCCGCACGCGGTCCCTTCATAACGGGGGACGCCGCTCCCCCCGCCGCAAAAATTTTAGTGCATACGGGCCTAAGAATACTCGTCCGAACAAGGTGCTAGGGCAGCGAAGGAGGAAGGGGAGCGGCGCTTGAGCCGCCCCCCTGGCTTGCAGAGTTCACATTTTCGGCGCGGAGTTGCTGTTTTGGTTCACTTGGAGGGTTTCCTATCCATATGTGTCAAAATCTGAGGTAGGTCAATCTACCGAGCCGCTGCCTTTAAATTTTAATGGCTGGCGAGCCTAGGAAAAGTCTCGCGACACGTTGGCGAACGTGTCCAGTGGCCCAAGCGAAGCCGCCCGCGAGGACCCGAGCCGCGCAGACCGTGACATTCAGATTGGAACACCCTTACCAAAACTCGTCTACACAATTTGCTCAGGTGCTTATCTTAATTCTTTAAAAATAAAAATAACTCTTCAATTTTCCGAATATAAATCACCCTTTTAAGAAAACTTCTAGGAGCAAGGCGAAGATCACGCCTTTTTTTGAAACACTTCGGAGGTTGAGTCTTTAAAAAGTTGTGAAGATTACCATACACTCTTCTGAAAAGAGCATCGTCCCCACAACCGAAAGAAAACCTTTAGTCCTCGACAAGTCTGTCTGTCTTCACTGTTAGAGAAAAGTCACAAGTTCCAGCCCTTAGTGGTATTAGTCATGCCCTTCAAAAAGACTTGAAGAGCATGGATAACTCTGATAGATGCGCATCTCACGAACACTCCTTTTTAGCTTTCAATATCACTTCGAGAGCTTGATAATGATGATTCTGTTGGTGCCATCGTTCTCACTGGAAGTCAAAAAGCGTTTGCTGGTTTGTGAATGTGAATTTGTGTGGTTGTTTACTTATGAGTTTGGTAGGTGAATGTTTTTCAGCTGGTGCTGACACCAAAGAAATGGTGGACCGCGAATTTGCGCAGACTTTCCGAGGACGATTCTTGGAAGAGTGGACAGCTTTGAGCGAAACCTCTAAACCGGTCATTGCCGCTGGTAAGCTAGTGCGAAATATTCTTTGTATTAGCAATCGTATTTAATTGCTCCATTTCCAGTCCTGTTTATATTATTATTTATCTTTTCTCACGCATCATGGTGCCCCATAATGAAAAAATAGTCAAAACATAAACAAACTAGTGATAAGCAGTAGATTAAGGCTTTATCACTTCAGATATGCCCTGGGAGGAGGTTGTGAGCTGGCTATGATGTGTGACATCATCTACGCTGGGGATAAAGCACAGTTTGGAGAGCCAGAAGTGAACATTGGCACAATTCCAGGCAAGTCCCATGGAAATATCCTCGTATCTTATATACAGGGTGTCCCAAAAAAATGTGAACACTGTTTGATTGTTGATAACTCCCTTGTTTTAACGTCCTTCGCCGAGCTTGAGGCACCATTCTATAAAGCGAGGTTTAACTTAGATTTTCAGTATGGAGCGAATCACCGATCAGTGTTCATTACTGCAGGATTACGGTATGAACTTCGACAAGGATTTTAGGCCATTTTAGGCCATATTCTGCCCCGGAACAAAACCAAACAATCCAAAAACTTTTATATATGGTAATGGAAGACGCTGAAATATGAAATTTCATTTTATTGTGATGCTTCTGTCCAAGGTTATGCCAATTAAATCGTAATAACTGAATTTCCAGCATTTGTCAGAAAGGTGATTACACCTTCAAAGAAGCTAAAAACACTTATAAAAAGTTGTGTAGTGGAATCAGCGTGCGCGAAAACCCTAGTACACGATTTTTTAGATCTTTTGAAAATCATTTTGTCAGATGCCATATTTTACAATAGATCCACATGCTAAAAGTTCATACCGTAATCTTACAGTAACGAACACCGACCGGTGATTCGCTCCATACTACAAATCTAAGTTGAACCTCGTTCCACAGAATGGTGCCTCAAGCTCGGCGAAAGGCATGAAAGCAACGGAGTTATTAACGACCAAACAGTGTTCACATTTTTTGGGACACCCTGTGTAGTCGCCCTCACCCCACTAGTCGGTCGGTGGACGAACTCAAATTTGAATTGGAGCAGGCCTGTCAACAGAGCGCGGCAGGAGACAGCGCTCAGCAATTACAAAAACTCAATATAGGTCAAAAACGTTGTAACAATACAAAAACTGCTAAGCAATGGCGAAGAAATACACAAAGTGAATGCGTGAATTTGAATGAAGAGCTAAGGTGCCGTGTTCTGCCGCGACCTGCCTGCTCCAGTTCAAATTCGAATTTGTCCACCGACCTGCTAGTGGGGTGAGAACGACTACAGTAAGTTTCACCTCAGTTTAGGCGGAAAATGGGTTGGCGGGGTCGGCTTCGCAACGATTCGCGCCGCTTTGCAGTCTGCTTCTCTTCATTTTAATTTATCTCGCTGAACCAGCGGCGGTGCGGACGCGCTGCTCCACTTGGATGTTTCGCCTGCTCCGGGTTGAAAAAGACTGAATATAAAGCTGAATGTCTGTTTCTGTGTCTGTACGTATGTTCCGAATAGAAAATTCCATTTCTGAATCGATCCGGACCAAACTTGGCACACATACACTTAGGGCCACGGCGGGTGTCATAGGCTACTTTTCGTATCGATCGATATCGATTTTATCGATTTTTTGCAAAATTTGAGCTACGGGGCTGGGAGTTGGCACAGGGGGGTAATCGAGCATGCTGATTACAAATATGTTATTGACAGAGCCGGGCGGAGCCGGGTTTGCCAACTAGTTGTTCACATATTCAGGGGCTGGTGGTACTCAAAGATGGGCACGAGTAGCTGGAAAGACAATGGCCATGGAAGTATGTTTGACGGGTAACCGAGTAAGTGCCCAAGAAGCGAAGGAATGTGGTTTAGTGTCAAAAGTAAGCCTAGCTTCTATTCTTCTTTTGTTGTTGAAAGTCTTATTCTTTTTCCACTTTTTCGTCTGATTCACGCCCTGGCCTTGAAAGTGGAAACTATTTGCTATTGAGACGATATTTCGTCGGCTTATACGTCAGTTGAAAACTCAAAAAAACATTGCAATATAACATCTTCCCAGCTACATGGTCTCGCATAAAGATGCTTTGTGTGGTTCGTGACGGTAGGTAAACACAAATACATGTCTCATTTCGAAAGACTACCGAGGACTATCGGAGCGGGTACTGTAGCCATGATCAGCTTGTCAATAATCCCCTCGACATCTATGCAAATCATTGTGTTTTATCTTCGGTAAATTCGCCGTAACCTAGAAGTTAATGCAAAGTGAGCAGTAAGCAGTTGCGGTCGCTATCAAATTCACCTTGGGTGAAATTCGCTTAGCACCTTTTATAATTCTAGTTTTAGTCTTTTTAATGCCGTAACTTTATTCTATGTTATGATTTTTCTATGAATGAGTGCTTTAGTCACCTCACAGTGTGGGTATCCTTTTAGGTGTTTCCAGCTGAAGTCGTGAATGAAGCTGTGAAACTAGGAGAGAAAATTTCTGAACAATCACCCCTTATTGTGCAAATGGTGAAGTTAAAATTGTTATCCTTACTGTTTCCTCTGATTTGGAAGTTTCGCCTCCTTTTCGGACAAAACTCTTTTTGAGGAGGCTGTCAACACTGCATATGAAACGACACTGAAGGAGGGCCTACGATATGAGCGGCGGCTTTTCCATACTACCTTCGCCACAGTGAGTCTTTCCCATAATGTCAAGGTTGCACGATTTCAATTTCGAATCTTTAGAACGATCGCAAAGAAGGCATGAGCGCATTTGCTGAGAAGCGTGCGCCAAAGTGGACCTCTAAGTAAAAATTGAACAAGTTGCTCTACGTGGACAAAAGAAATCGATAGGCTTTATGTTGTCACTCTCAATATCAAGTTTTATGGGTAAAAGTTCTATCTCTTCGTATCTCACATGTACCATGAACATCTTCCAATTCTTCGATTTTGTTTATCGTCTCAGCTACCTGGCACAATGTTTTTAGAAATCGATTAATTTGCCGCCTAAACCTGTGCATGTGAAAATTCATAGAATAATTTCGATTATGCTATAAAACATTCGAAAAGAGGGGTCCCACTTATGGTAGCTCTCAATCTCGCGACCCCCCGTCCCGCTCCCGTTGATCGCTACGGGTGTAGGGTGCAGACTGTTGTATAGACCTCGACACGGCACCCAATTGACTATGCGTTAAAAATGCGTACTTGGTGTCAATACGGTGCTCATCACTTACCTCAAGCCAGTGATTGGTGTTTTTTCAAATTTGCTTCACCCTCGTCTCTCTGGAGTACGGAAAATGATCAAAGGAAGTTTTGATAAAACTGAAACATTTCAAATATTGCAACTCGTACGAAATCTTACGGCATGGGGGTTGCTTACTCTGCTGAATCCGAAAATGATACTTATTTGTAGTCGTTTGTGGCTGCACCAGCTGCCCGTACTAAAGCCGAAAGACAGAATTGCCTAGTATTTATTTGATGGAACTGTTCTGCATGCTGATTTGAGAAGTAGTATCTATCTTTTGCTAATTCTTTCCTGTGAACTTGTGAACAGCAGAGATATCAAAATGGATAATTTCCCGTAGTTTAGTTTGGAGTTATTTGATGTGCTAAATGGAACTGGAGGACACAGGGCAAGGAGGCTGTCTTTTCTGAATACTCATGCAGGTACCGCGAAGTTTTTAGACTGCTTGTGCCATTATTTTTATCCTTCCATTCATAAGGGCTTCCGATGCTACTGTAGGCTCCTTGAGGATAATGTAAGATACCTTGCAGATTTTTTTAGCTTAGGCTATATCAACTTTTATGCAACAAAAGCTCTTAGCTGATGACGCACATTCCCCCTCTAATATAACTTACCCATCAAAGACAAAACTATTCGTGTGTGATGATTTCCATGAAAATCGACCTTCACCTTTGCAAGGGTTTTACAGGGCGTCTAGAGGATATGTAAATGCACACACACCTACAGTGGGATAGATCCTGCTTTTTTGGCTAGCTACTCTTTTCTCATTTCCTATTTATATCACAAACATACAGGTATATCCTAGGAATGACACCTTCGTGCCAATGTCGGCAATGTTTATTTGTCACAGAAAATCATCATTTAATTGAGCATGCAAAACAATCCTAAACAGACCCTAAGCAGTTCTGTTTGAGTATTAGGCAGCTGCTGCAGTTACGCAATAAACGACTATCAAGCAAAATGGGTATCATTTTAGGATTCAGCATTGTAAATAACCCCCAGCCACGAGATTTCAGTACGAGAGCAATATTTGAAATGTTTCAGTTTTATCAAAAGTTCCTCTAATCATTTTCCGTACTCCAGAGAGACGAGGATGAAGTAAAGTTGAAAAAACACCAATTAAAAACCTGAGGTAAGTGGTGATCACTTATTGACACCAAGTACGCATTTTTAACGCATGATGTCAATTGGGTGCCGTGTCGAGGTCTATACGACAGTAGGGCGCAGGGCTCGGCACGAGGTGGCTTTCCAAATATGCAAAGAACGAAGTCCCCCTTGGGGGAATAGAACTTAGGAATCCGAGCCTAATTAGGCCGACTCGGGAAGTGCCTACAGGATACAGTCATGCTCGCAGTCTCCGATTGCTCCCTAGGACATGGCGACAATCTAAGCTCCGCCCCTGAGAGCCTGCTCTGGAACCTTGCCAAGGAATGCTGAAAATCCCAATTGAATTTCAGGTCACTGAAACTGGCTCGTAGCCAAAAACCTTCAAAATGATCGTACGAAGGTCAAGTTAGGCTCAAACGAAAGAGAAAAATCGCGTCATCATTACAAAGTATCTACTGATTGAAAATGATTGAATACAACATTCTTTTGGTTCAAAACTTCATTTGAGTGTGGATTTGAAGGAAAATTATGTCAAGCTTCTCAAAAATAATTTATTTGAGTGTTAAGTCCGGGCAAAAAACTAGAAAATCAAGCAAGAATTGCCAGTTTAGAAAATGCTTAAAAATAGAAATTTATTCATATGCGGAAGTTTGAGCAAATAATAAATCATCCAAGAAATAACAGCTCACCACTATTCATAGGTGCGATAGGGGGAGCCGGGCCCTCTCCAGGTGAAGGGGGTCTCTGCTACTCCCATCCTTGTAAGGTGAAGGGGGTAAGTGAGCCCTTAGAGCAAAATGCCCCAACAAGTTACATACCGAAAACTGAGGTCATATAGAATCGACATAGAACGTCGGCTTTTTTCTAGGTCTTTTGTGCCGCGAGATATGAGGGATTTTATGTACTTCATGTGTCAACTAATTTTGTGTCCTCACTTTCTGCTCTCCAAAAGAATGCTACGAGAAAGTCGACGGTCTACGTCTGCTAATGAAGACTTGCTCTGTAACGCAGATAGATAACCAGCAGATTGAGTCTTCGTTTGGCAGAAATTTGCTGTTGAAAATGAACATGATTTCAGGTAAAATGCAGTGTATCTCTCAGTAAAGTGCCGCTAGAAAGAATTCGACGGTCTACGTCGAGTCCCCTTTTCCTGGGCTTTCGAATGGTATATAGACCGCTGAGCGAAAAAACTTGCCAGTTTTTAAAAATGGTGTGGAGGTATTTACTATTAGCTGGCTCCACCCAGCTCCCCCAATGTATTGGCTTTTATCGGTCACCAGAGCAAGTGCTTTTTAGAGCCGGGAAGCAAGAAAGCCCTAACATGCTTTACACCGTTCGAAAGCTGAGATTATGGAGAATCGACGTAGACCGTCTCTTTTTTCATAGCTTCTTTGTAGAGCGAGATACGAGCGATTTTATACGCCTACTCACCAGCTAATTTTGTGTTATTATTTTGTAATTTATTTTTGAAAGAAAGAACAAAGATTAAAAAAAAAGAGACGGTCTACATTTACTGGCAAGGTCTTGCTCTGTGATGCAGTTAGAAAATCAGGCACCTTTATCCATTCTTCACGCAGAAATTTCGCGACAAAAACACACGTCTTTTTGGGTAAAATCCCGTGTAACTCTAAGTAGAGGGGAGCTAGAGAAAAAGAGACGGTCTACGTCGAATCCTTTTTTTGTGGGCTTTCTAATGGTATACAGGTTGTCGGGTGAGAAAACTTGTGGTTTCTCAAAAATGAGGTGGAGATATTCAATAGTAACTTGCTCCACCCCGCTCCGGCTTTCTATGGGTTGCCGGAGCAAGACTTTTTTGGACTGGGAAAGCTTTGTGCACCAACACCTTATATACCATTCGATAGCTAAGAACGCGAGGAATCGATATAGACCGTCTCTTTTTTCGTAGCTTGTCTGTGAAGCGAGATACGAGCAGTTTTATCTAGCTACAGTATCAGCCAATTTTGGATAATTATATTTTCGAACCAAGAAGGTCTTTTTCGAACTTTTATATATGAATCGAAAGCATGAAAAACGAGTAATCTGACTGTTGTTTTGTTTGTTATTATTCTCTCTAGTGAAAAGAGATATGGTATGATTTCTTGTCAGTAAACATGCATCCATCGCTAGTCGGTTCAGATTTTTCTACTCTTGCTCAACTCTTTTTGGCAAAGTATGTATTCATTGATACAATGTTAATTATTCAAAAAATCACCTTTTACTTTTTGATTAAGTTTCGTTATCAACGCCCTTTGAGCGCGCAGAAGGTCTCAAGCATGCGTTTTTCAACGAAACGTTGTTGATTCCATACTCTCTTGCAGTCTTGATGTCTGAGGAGAAGAGCAGCTGGCGTTTCCTTTCCAAACAAAAGTTCCGTTGTAATAGCTGTTTGCCTTGATTAGTCTCAACCTCAGGTGAAAGGGGTCAGCCAGATGCCGGCCCTAAAGTGAAGGGGGTCAGAGAAATTTCTCCACCTATCGCATCTATGCCACTATTGATATTGCTAATCAAAGATATTCTGTCAAAGACAGACGATTTTGATGGGAGGACGCGCAGGAGGAACGAAGGGTATGCCGCCGCATATCCTAGAGACTTCTAGCAGCCATGAATAGGCTCCGCCCATTGCTCCGCCCACGAGATGCTCATAGTGTGCGCTGAGTTGGAAAGACAGACCACGGAACTGGAGGCAAATCACAATGAATAGCAGCTCAGAGTTGAGGTTAAAGTTCAAAAGAGATTTTCGATAACTACTTTTAAAAATAAGTTTTTATAGACCAAAAAATTTAAATTTGCCACAAATAGTTAGGAAGGAAATAAAGATTTGGATATAAAATGATTGAAATGTCTACTATTATACTTGAGAGCAAGTTCAAATTACACAGATTGACATGCTAGTACAAAAAAGGAATAAGAGAGCTTTCCCTCGAGGTTGAAAACATTGAAAAGGTGTTTGAAAAATACAACGCAGTTAATTTGCATAAAGGGCAACAGTAGCATTGAATAACATTATAACTGTCCATACCGCTTAATTGAGGACCTTTGAACGAAGACATTCAAATATGGTGCGAGAGAAAGCTCAGTACCTGTCAGTAGAGTTTCACAGATCAGATTTGAGGTGTGACACTATCCTCCATGCAACGATGACAGTTATTAGGACATGACTTTGGCAAAGTCGAGCATTCTTGTATTCGAGGAAAAACGTTGGAAAAGTTTTCCACAGCATCATGTCTTTCAGTGAATTTTTCATTGCCGCTTTTTTATTTTTCGATTTCTTTCCCAGTACATCTCCTTGTGAGCTTCTACAAATTGTATGACTTCACGCCTCCAATGCTTTTGATCATCGATTCACGTATTATTTTCGATAGTCCACCTTACCTCGGAAAACGACTCGTTTAACGCACATTTTATAAATATTTGTATGAATATAATTATTTTTACTCATTTTTTCGATTTTCTAAATTTATAACTTGCTCCCTCAGTTTCCTTAACCCCTTCCCCAGATAAAATGTTGCAAATACATTTTATCTGGGGA